TTGTTTCGAGAAATGAACAGAAGTTGTATACTCAGACCCAGAAAGAAATCTAAACCCCAGTCAATTAAGCAACACATCCACAGGGAAAATCCAAAATATACAATCTCTTTCAAAGCTAGATACGATTTAATGACTAAAAAGTTATTACATCTGGAACTTTACATTCCCAGAGTGTAAAATTGGTCTTTTTCAGTCATGAGAGGTTCCCACGAGGCTTTAGTAAAATGTTAAGACAGAAAGTAAAATTCTACCATCAGAAGCGTCTGGATAACTGTCAGCGACCCAAATGAAAAATCCGCTGACGCCGTATAAAAAGCTCGGAGAACACCTTTCGGTATTCCCGAAACTACTAGACTGTATCACAGTTTTGAGGGTTGATATGGAACGACCGAGTGATTGACGATAGGAAAGCAAACTGGTGCATTATTTTGCCAACCTAAAGAAAGGTTATAGGGTCGCAAATCTTAGTTGAATTGCAGGACGCTCTATCATGTTGGTAAGTTAATATATTAAGTTGTCATTTTAATAAACAAGACTGGGCTGGGTTGGGCTGGTGCTGGCAGGGTGTAAATAAATCCCGCAGTTAAAAATTTTCCCGCATCAGTGTCTATTTTTACGTACTGTTTGGTACCATTTAGTAAAAGCCCTTTTTATAACACGACTATCTCTTTTCAAAGCACAGGCACCACGCCAAACTTAAATTTACTTACGGTTGCCAGCAAGCACACAAAAGTACCAGACGGCAAACACGTGTTTTGCCTTCAGTACTGAAGGACGTATAAGAGAGCGTGGTTCAAAGATTACAAATTACACGAACACATAGACAAGAGTTTTTAATCGCTTGCATGAAACGTGCAATCATATGCCATGACATGCATATTCATTTCAATGACCTGGAAAAAAAATATTCTGTGGCATAATAAGTGATTCTCAAAACAACAGTTGAAGCAAGGCTACAAAGACATTAAGAAGTAATTTGCGCTGAAAATACAGAGATGTGTAGTGTAATGCGTAGATTACCCAGTTAATTACTGCTTGTGTGCATAATGTATTACCGTAAGTATGTTATTTTCCAGGTTTGCCGCTGTTTATTATAGCAAAGTTAAACAAAAAACGTGATTTCGTGAAGACTGCTGAAAGGAAGATAGTAAATTACACCATTGAAGTTGAAATACTGAACCCTCTTTTTTAGATCTGCCGAAATTCTTGCCGATCTGGCAAGCCAAAGAAAAATTTGATTCATCGTACAAATGCAGTTAGGTTTGTTAAGTTACTGGACAGCTGGCTGACAGAATGTACTCTTCAGCCAAAAGCATCCATGACAAGCTCGATAAGACAAAAAATTCGGTAGAAGCCGAAAATACTAAAGCGCACGGTATGAATATTAAGCGCGACAATATGTTACTTACCTTTGTAGGAGCGGAAATTTGTGATTAGGGACTACAGAAATGATAGCGAGGATTCGGTTATTACTATCGCGGTCTTTCAACTTTGCAAATACCTGCCTTTTGCTATTCAGGAGGATCAATCTTACTTTTATACCCATTGAATGGTGTCAGATTAATTCCATTAGTTATGAGGATATCGTGAGTCTTTTGTCCTAGCTATCCAATGAACCATTGTCTACATAATTTTCTTGTCCTATTTATCTGCATTAACTCACTTCTGTCTTACCATTTCTTTCTTTGCTTCATATATTGACCCGTAGCGAGATTTGTCGGGGCGTAAGTTAGTGGCCGACAGACTCGTCTCATGCGGCATACAGTAGGACCTAAATTTCGGATTCCAACGGGGGTTTTACCGACAACATTATGTGCCTATAAGCACAATCTCTAATACTATTATTCGATTTTGTCACTTGCACCTGGATCTCTTGCGCCGATCCCCTGCTTATAACAGTTGCATCTAGTTTTTTAACCTTGTACCGAAAAGGACTTTCTGTCTTTCCCCAATGTCGGCTAATGCATCGCTACTTTAAAAATTATTTGGGTGAATCTTCACGTCAAAGGTGCTGTGGATGCGGCTGCGCACTAGTGAGGAGTTCACGAACGCGCACCGTTTTAAGAATGCAACCAAGTACATTACTTTGGTGCGTTTCTTGGTCTCCTGCTCCCATCACTTCTTTCTTAACATGCTCCAATTCCGGCCGTTTCTTAGATTCGCACTTTCTCGCCCGTCCCTCCCGCCTGCTTTGCGCGTACCAGGAAAATTAAATAAATTTACTGTATATTGACTGTACCTCGTACGTTGGCCTTGTTTCCGGCCATCTACCGGCCTTAGGAGTGTCGGTCGTGGCGAGGTGCCTTGTCGACTGTTCATCTTTTGAGGTGAGACCAACTTTTTCTTCGTGAAATTTATTTGGCCGATCCACTGGAAGTCTTACATTGTGGAAGAATCACTTGACTATTAAACGGTGTAGGCACGTCAACCGTCCGTCTTGTTTTGTCGATGGAATCCTGCCTTTTATTTTGCAGTAGGTTTTTTGCCGAGGACGTTGTCCAGACGGCGGAGCTACCCCCAGACCTACAGGATCCAATTTGAGTTGTTACTACGCCTGCTCACTTTGACTCTGAAAGACTTTCAGTAAAAAGTGTTTTTTCCTGTAATATAGATTTTTATCAAAGTTCTCCTAGGTTATGAAACATGGCACTGACGAAGTAGTTCCCGTGTGTAATGTGTCAGTATGTGTATTTTTAATGGGACTGTGCGCCAACGAAGGTAGCCTGTGACCTAAGTAAAAGTCGGTTATTTTTCCAGCATTGGGTTTTCATAGATCTTTAATAATGCACACCTGAAATGGGAGGTTGAACTTAACGCATCTAGGCCAGGTTTATTTACTATCTTGGTGATTAGGTCGTCATGCTAGCGCGCTGATGTAATGCTCGTTTCTATTCGGGACTTCGCCCAAGTTAAAGAACACTGTTATTTACGTGCTTTCTCGAACTCTCGACCTGTTAGTTAGAAGTCCACGCCTCTAAACACTGGGCCACGAGCTCGTTGCCCTGTCGGTTTCGATCGGGAATAAACCTTTGTTGGTAATAACCTACTGCCTATCTCATGCGCCGCTGTGCGGCTGCTGGTTGGGCTCGAGAGAGAGATCCCGTGAGGCACAACGAAAAAACTGAGTTCCGTAAGAACATTGTTATTCACATCCCTGGTAGTATTTCTTATGACGTGCATTTCCCTATTAATTTAGTAGAGGTTTCGTACGAAAGCTGGTACTGGTTCCATTTCTTCTTGTAAATCGCCAGCTCCCAGGAAAGTCGAAAACT